GGGGAATGTCTCATTTTAATCAGAAATGTGCGCGCTACAATTATATCTTATTTAAAAATGTTTTGGTTATTTTTTAAAGTTTCTGAAAAACTGGTTTTCTAGAAAACTGGGTCTTCAAGAAACATTGAGAAAAATGCTTTATGCCACTAGAATCAGCTCGTCGAGCTCTATCGATTGGGGTACCTCTCGTTAGCATCTGTGATTAACACTTGGGATAGTTCCTCGTAAGACATACTCGTGGTAATTTTTGTATTTTTTTCGTTACAGATGATAAAAATACGGCTACGAAACCTTCATCGTCGATAAAATCAATATATCGGATACACATGAAAAGAATATAAGCGGGTAATCCAGGAAGAAATGTAGCTGCTAGACGAGGTTTTAAGTCTAAACAACAAAAAAAAATTACAATATCCTGTTCTATTGGTAAAATAAATGAACTTACTCAGAATAAGGGTGTCAGTAATTTTTTCTGTATGTTGTGGTGTACATTTGATCATCCCATTTAAATCATACGGATTGTCATATGGATTATTCGATACAACGGTAGTATTATTACTCTGGTTATTTGGTAACAGTTGATCATTTAGAAATTTATCAGAATCGGCTACTGCTCCTGCAGTTAATGTGTTTTCTACTGATAAATTCGCTAAAAAAAAAGAAATAGTTTTGAACTGTTAGGCAATAATGCATTCTCTTCTTCGCACATTCTGAAAATGTTTTATTGATGAGTTTAATTGTTCTTCTTAATTTCCTAATTTCTAATTGACTGTTATAGAGCGTATCACGTAATTCTAAATTTTCAGTGATAACATTTGTAATTTGTTGTTTCATCATATCATCAACGGTATTTTCAGCGATTGTTTTACATAATTCAATGTTTTCATTTTCTATTTGTTGTAAACGCTCCTGTATACGTAAATATTCACGTTGATATGATGTTCGAGATTGTTCTAATTCTAATTCTAACATTCTAAACACGATGCATGAAAGAAACTAGACAGCAGTCACACTACGCAAGAGTTACGAATGCGGTGCGAAGCTCTTTGATAAAGAAAGTGAAAACCAGAAAAACGAAAGAGCTATATATACGCATGAATCACAAAAAAACAGTTTTACTCTAGTTGTTTGTTTTCTGTCGATTACGTATTATACGCAAAAGAAAGTCAACAAGACTGCTAAGTAGTACCTATATGGCGCGTGTACACTTACCACGTCAATTATCTCTTTCTGCTATAAAATGTCCTATAATGTCAATCGACAACCATCTTTTAGATGCTCTAGACGGGAAACTAAATGTTCTACAGAACTACACAATAGGATATTTCCATATTCAGAGTCCGCTTCATATTCTCATTTTTCTTACACACTTTTCAGATCTTGAACAAAAAGCGTGAGAAAATGACACAAAAAGCGTATTAAGAAAACACCACACTGATTGCTAGAATGCGGTATGCTTCGCATCGCATTAATAAAATCGTGTATTCGAGAAAAAGAGAGAGTGACATACTTGTTAATTTGTTTTTGACTTTTGTATGCTTCACCAATGGGATCTGTATTATCCAAATTAACTTCAGAAACGTCGTACATTAATACATGATCTTCGAGCATGGATTTTATTTGAACTTGACTTTTACGATGATGCTCTAATTCAGCGTTTAATGCATCGAACTGACCTAAATTTCAAAAGAAGATGATATATGGGTCTCTGACAAGGATTTATTTAATTAAGGCAAAGTTTCAATTTTCATCCTGTTTCATTTACCTAGTAATTGTTCTCTTGCACTCGTTTTATCTCCTTTTAATATCAGTTCTGTTAATGATTTCAAATCGTTTTTTAATCTCTCCATTTCTACTTCATTTAAATGCCATGAGTGTGCTTTATCTGTTGCTGTTGTTTTATTAACGCTTATTGATCCACTTGTTGCTAATAAATAACGATCACGATCACCATCACTCTTCGTCGCTTTATCTAATTCATCTGCTAATGCTTTATTCACGGTTTCTGATTGTTGTAATCGTCGCTGTAATCGCAAAAGTAATCCGCCATCTCCTTCGCTTAGGTTATTCTTATTCGAAGCTTGTGGTTCTCCATCGTGACCTTGTTCCAAATTAAGCGCTGAAGACAACTGATCTTGATAAGACGATGAATGAATTGAATCAGATGAATGTTCCTTCAAACAGGAAGTGAAAAAACGGACTATAAGATACCATTGACTGATTAGCACATTTAATCTTAACAGTAAACATCCGAATACAATATTAATCGCATAGTCAGAAGGAAAAACTTCAAAATGTCACTTACACGTTCTTAGTCTGAGTAAAAAAGTCATGCAACTCTTATTTCATTTATTTTTATTACTTACATAAATTGTCATATCTGCGTCGGATAGAGACCGCTTCATACTGCCTTGTACGTGTGGTTCATTACGATGTTTTAGATCAGTTACTTGCAATTCTGACTCTAAATTTTCACATTTTTGCTCTAAACGATGCATTTCAATAATATAACGTTGACGTTGTTGTCGTTCTGTTTGTAATTCATCTTCGAGCTCTTTCAAACGTTTTAATTGATCAGTTGTATTCGTGTCTATAGTTTCTAGAAAATTATGAATTACAGTGAGGATATGTGATCAGTTTCACGATGTGATACACAAATGTGAGTTCAATATTCAGATCTATTGCTTGATTTTACCTTGTATCTGTTCTTCTAAACGTTTAATATCGCTCGTTTTCGCATCTAATGCAAATTTGAGAGTTGCTAATGATTCTGTATGTTTTACGATCAATTCCTCTTTTGACACTTTTAATTGTTGATGTTCTGTACGTATTATCTGATTTTCAGTTCCTAAACGTTCGATTTCAGCACGTAGTCTAAAAACAAGAAGTGAACCAACTACAAGGAATAATGTATAGTACACAATAAAGTAATTTACTGATTATTTTCTTCTTCGATTGTTATTTGTTGTTTAATATTTTGTTTCAAATCTTTATTAATTAATTTTAACTGATCAAATTCTTTACGCAAAAGTTCTAACCCATTTTCTTTTGATAATAGACGTTCGGTTTCACGTTTCTAGAATAGAGACAGGAATTCAAAAAGTGAAGAAAAGTGTGTGTAATTAATACCTGTTCATCATTTCTTTGCTGTAAACTAATTATTTTATTTTCCAATCCTTGGTTTAATTTTCGTTGATGTTCAACCGATCGTAGTTCTGCTTTTATTTTTTTAACCGTGTCTACCGCTTCTTGTCGACGTTGATACGTTTGTAGTAGTAGAATACCTCGTTTAATGGTGTCAAATCGACGTTTATATAGCCACATTCTTATACGAGATTGAATGGTGACAACACGTCGTTCAATTACACGACGCTGAATGTTACACCTTACCAAATATCCGCGACTATACGCCTAAGAAATAACTATGTACGAACTACTCCAATTTATTAGAAGTTAAATACCTGCAGTTTAACTATTGTCATTTTCAATTTTTCATATATTCGTTTTTGCATTTGCATACGCCATTTTGATTGAAATAATGTTATTGCACGGGCACGACGAACTAATTCAGCGTGTCTAAAACGAAAACAAAAGAAGATTCAATAAAAGCAAATCACAAGTGTATAACAACGCAAATCCAGTTTAATTGATTCTAGTTTTACTTAATGAATGAACACTGGAAGATGGATGTGCCATGCACAATGCTAACTACGGAAATTAATACTTGTTGATCTATTCGCTACTGTTAGTCTTACCCTCTGGCCAAATAGCCTCTAGTCAACATTTGTAACTTCAAGATTGTTTTTCTGATAATTAAATATTTTTTTCGCTGTCTATAACCTCTGTAAGTTGTTTGAATTCGTATAATACACATTTTTAATTTTTCTGAACGCAATTTTTCTAAATAAGCTACTTGACCAGCACGAAAAAATATTTTTGTATTACCAAATTGAAACTTATCAGGATCCTAAAACACAAAATGATGAGTTTGAAGCCACGCATTCTCAAGATGTTTATTTTTCACATAAAAGTTGTGACGAAACAAATGTGCACACGTCAACACACTATAATTTATCTAATTAGTTCGCAAAACTACTGTTGCTTATATATGTATCATACGGACGAAAAAAAGAGATGAATGACTTCTATGCTTACGGATGTTTCTCTGAGATTTACTTTTGTACATATCAATTTTTACGTTTTGCCACGATTTTCGCTTTTATGGATATACTCCACGATTCTGTTATTTCTTTATTTTATCTAACGATTTTTCTTTACGATTTGAAACTTATGCTTTTTTCCCTCATCATTTTCTATTACAGGTTTTTTTTGAACATTTTTTATGATACGACTTTCGATTTCACGCTTTATTTCACGTTTTTGTTCCTGTGTGGTCATGTCAGATTGTTCAAACTTATAGCGAATGTTGAAAATGTCACAGTAAAATGAGGATGCTTTTAAAAGCTCTAAGCGTTATCGTTCCTGAGATGTCTCCATTATAGTGATCAAAATGTGATGGTTTGTATTACCCGAAACTTTTTCTGCAAACAGATGCTAGTAGGTTCGAGTTGGTTTTAAATTGTAACTACCACATGGTTGGCTTTGAAGACTACAGGTTGGTTTTGAAGTTTTGTTCATGTTGGACATATCATAAACCGAAAATTTCAAAAACTCGTTTTATGCTTTCCAGACATCTTCCTGTCACATAAGTGAACGAGTTTCTAGTAGGTCATATTCTGAAGACTTTTAGAAAAAGTTTACAAAATCATCAGAGGCGTTTGATATTCTCGAAATCCATATGGATTTGTAGAGTAACCACTGTGGGCTAACCGACCAGATGTTTACCTTTCACCAAAATTTGGCATTACATGAAAGGGGAAGCTTAGTTGCTTACATCGCTTTTTCTGTTTCTGTAACATACTTGTATCAATGTTTTCAAAATATTTTCACACGTTTTTCGATAATTTGTACGATCGATCATAGATGATTTTGCTAACAATCGATAACGTTGAAAAAAATCCTGATATGTCCATCTAAAAGACAAACGGATAGAGAGTTTAAATCAAACTAGCAGTGTAGCGAAGAAATACACCTCGATGGATAACCGGCTGCACTTATGCGAACTGTTTCTAACACACCACATGCTCGCAATTGTTGTACAGCACGCCGAGACTCAAATCTAAAGATCAAATACAGAAAATAGATTATAAACATATGTATATGTAGAACTTGAATGAATAACTTACGTAAATGGTGCTTTACTATCGTTCGGCTTGATACATCGTACATAATGGGGTTCTGTTGAATTTAATGCCAACATTAAACTTTTCAAGGATTCACGAAACTAATAAATAAGAAAAAAACATACTTATTCGCTTTATTGATACACAACAAAGGCAGTTTGTTAGAGTGTAAAAGAAAATTCAACAAGTATTCGCTCTCTTACTCTATGCGACAGTTAGAAAAGTGAAGGTGTATATTACGTGCTGGAACATTAAGGAGAAACCGGTGGCTTTTATTAATTAAATAGTCTGAAAAAATGCCTGTGCAATAGCAGGATATCAGATTGCTGCAAACGTACGTATTTTTTGTTTCAGAAGATTATTTTTTACAGCTAATAACTCACACCTTAACTTATAGCGAGCTCAAGTATAGAGAGCAAGAGATAAAGACAAATTACACAACTAATAAGTAAAGTTTCTCGACAATAGCGGAACTTAAATTATAATGTATGCTTAAAACCATTATACAAACTGCTATCAATACATATAAGATCTTGTTTCCACTAAATGATATGAATATTATTTACTGAACGCCTAAATCTACCGTAGATCATCCAAGTATTTGAGATTTTGTGTATTATAACTTAATGCTGCGAAAAAGCACTTTGTATAACATCGAAGAACATGTATTTAAGGGCCCCTCCCCTCAGGAAAAAAGTTTTTTACCTTACATCCGATTTCGATAGTGCTTCTAGTGACTAATGCTTACTGTTCCCACTAGCTTATGCTAAGAATTTGAGATCGAAATGTTGAAGCGCTGCCGAGTTATTGCGTGACAGGGGGCAAAATGGGGCTCTTAGCAATAACGTAAAAGCTTTTTTGTTGGAAGGTGCAGAAAGCTGGGAGTGACCTCAAATGAAAGTAGAGATCTAAATCTAGAATTTGATCTGCGGGGATTTTTGAATTTCGCTTCCATTCATGCCCTACACGTATTTTAAGTCAGAACTCTGAAAATAATCCGAATTCGGCGGAGTATTTGCCACTTATCTCTGCACAGAAGACAAAAATCAAAAATCGCCGCGGATCAAACTTTAGATAAATGTTTTGGCTTCAAAATAAAAAAAGAATGAAGGTTTTACGACGAATCGTCCAAGAGGAGATACAACTTTGCTGCGTCAAAACCATATTCTAAGCAATGACGTCATTAGTTCATTAATTATAGTTCAGCACCTTTAGCAAAACTAGTATAACTCTACAAGACGAAGTCGTACAAACCTGCTGGACTTCTCATTCTGATCCGAACACTCTGCTCAACATAGCTCCATGTCTGTTAAAAAATGGACAACCTTAAAATTTTAATTAAAATGTGAAATTTAGGAAAAGGTGATTTTTAGGGCTTTCAGAAATCTTTTTCATAAACTTCCAAAACATTAATTTTTTCGCAAACTGAAATGGGTTTCGAAAAATGACACTTTGGGATACTGAACCGTATGGTTACTTCAGTTTCGAAGGTTCCGAAGAAAACATCGAATTCCTGAGGGGGTGCTGCCCTAAGCGAATATTTATTATTCTAAAACAAAAATATTGTATCACCTAACAAAAATTCAGCTTGTAGAAGATGAATGAATCAAGAATACTGTAAACCAAAAGTAATATTTCTCAAAATCGTATCTTATTTTGTAAATACGTTTTCAAACATAATTCTGAACCAAACACTATATGACTGCCAAAATTTTTATGAAAGTATATAATGGTAAGTTATTAGGTGTTTTTATGCATAAAATAAAAACACAAATATTTAATACAAACCTGTAGATCAAGTATAATTCGCTAAATTATACAAAAACAATCGAGACACATGCTTCTGTTATTAAAGCATAAATTACTAACCCAGAGCAAGATTCAAATGAATATTTTGTTAATTTCAGTGAGTTTATTCAACTTCTTCTATTCGATATTTATAAAACTGATATTGAAGATCTGGTATTTACACTCTATTAATAATATCAATTGTCCAATAGCTCCGTCTATGTGACATACCTGAAAGCTGACTGTTTTCTTTCTAGTTGCTTGTGCTTTACTATTTGAATGTAATGTATCAGCGTTTTGTATCGTATGATTTTTATTAATATTTTGTGCTGTCACTGGTATATCATCATCATCCGAAAATAACTGAACAACAAAATCTAACTAGAAATAAAATCATTTGTAATAAATGACTACTGTTATTAATTATTCTACACAAAACACATACTTCACTCTCTTTTAACACTGTTAATTGATCTTCTAAAACGGTATCACGATTTTTTTCTAAGAAACCATTAATTGAATATTCAACTTTTTCAGCAAAATGATTAATAATAAACGTTGATGATGATAATTTGTTTGTAAGAAAATCGTCATGTTTCCCATGTTGATTAATTAATTTTCTTAACCAATTTTCATCTGAACCTTTTGGCACCTAGATAAGAAACAATATGTCACAATTTTAAAATTTTTTATTTTTCACCAACAATTTTATATCATATTTGAAAGTCTCCATCATTCTATCGATATCATTTCGATAGAATAGATAAACATTATTGATTCTAGTCAGTATTTTACTCTCAAAATATCATACTCTATTTATATTCACTAATCGTAAAGTTGATATATCAATGACATGATAGTCACAAATTGAATTTTTAACGAGAAGATAATTTTTAACAATTTTAGTGTGAAAAACTTTGTCACTTACTATGCATTCTTCATCTAATAAATCAAGTATACCAAGTTTATTTTCGATTAGATCAATGCACGGTTGATTATCTTGAAATTGAATAAATGACCAAGTTATTTCTTCTTTCATATATTCTTCTTGTTCTAATTTAAATACGTGCTAAAAACAAAATGTTTTTTTACAGATCTATTAAACATATACTCCTATCTAGTTAAAAACGATTGACATTTCTAATATGATAAATGAGAATTTTTAAAATTATGTCTTTTGTAGAAGAATTGTTCAATTAATAATACGAGATCGATACCTGACAAAATTGTTGCTGTAATTTTTCATTAGCATAATTGATACAAAATTGTTCAAAACTGTTCATTTCAAATGTTTCAAATCTAAATTAAAGGAAAAGAAATAGACAAAATATAAATTAAAATACTCAATAATCTTACCCGTAAATGTCTAATACTCCGATGAATGATTGTTTATCTCTAATATATTCTAGTGATTTATTAATTTCTTCCACTAACCATCTAAATAATTGTGAATACATATGTTTTGCTAATGCATCTCGAGCAAATAATGATTGCTGTAAATTCAATGGCATAATACACACTTCAATACCAGCTTTTAACTTTTTACTACAGAGCCATGTTTTCATACGATTTTCATCAATTTTTAGCAATGAACAAAATGTGGAAAATGATTCATTTGGATACTGAGAAAAGAAAAAGAGAATAAAATATTCTTAGTTAAGTAATGAATAAAACATATTGATTGAGACAAATTCATATACTTTTTCTATCTCATATAGTATCTCTAGTGAATAGACTTGAGATCAAGTACTTAGCTATTTGCAAATTTTCTAAAGTACTTGGTTTTAGCACTTGTCAAGCATATTTAGATTTAATATGGAAGAACTTCGGATACTTGCATATATTTCGTAAGTACTTACCATATTACCTGCCAAATACTTGATGAAGTACTTATCTAGTATTTATACTTGTTAAATTACTTGATAAATACCTTTTTTACTTGCAAAAAACTCCAGGTACTCTGGACATTACTTACCCAAGTACGTTCACTAGGGATGAACTTACTTTAATATACGTTGCTTCTCTTTCAGCTTCAGTAATTTCAACATTTCCAAGATGTAATATTGCTGATAATAATCGAAATAATAACATTTGAGTTTTACTGTCGATGCCTAATAGAAACAATGCTTCTCTTGTATCATTGAACATTAATGCATCATTAACACCTTTGATTATTATTGCATTTTCTGTATAACGAAATTGATCAGCCGATACTAAAATTAAAATAAGATCTAAATCTAGATATTTGAATACTCATTGAAAGACAGTACCGGCTTATGAAAGATAACTATAGATTAACAAATAATATTACATACGTAGAGAAAGTGTTTTCATATCTTGATTTTCATGTTGTGTACATAATTGATAAAATATATGATAGTTTCTTTCATCTGAAGCTTGATAGATCACTCTAAAAATGTAGCATTATTATTATCAACTTGAAGTCATCAAAACAACAGTATATACCTTGATTTTTCCAGCAGATATGTTTTCATACTCGCTCCACATATATGATTTTTAAAAAAACCAAGTTCAATGTATTTTCCAAAACGAGAACTATTGTCATTTCGAATAGTTTTAGCATTTCCTATTGCCTATAATTATAATCACAATGTATGTTTCATGATTGATAGAAAATAATTTAAAACATACTTCCATTATTGGATTAGATGCTAACACTTTCTTTTCAATTTGTGTTTCTTCAGATAAACCAGCAATATTTGCAAAATAGCGCATAGCATATTTGGCTGACACAGTTTTACCTTTAGAAAGTAATACAAAACGGTTAAAAAAGTTCAAGACAAGACGAAAAACCATACCAGCTCCTGATTCACCGGAAACAATAATTGATTGATTTTTATTGAAACTAGATGAAAACATAGAAAAGAAAAAGTTAAATACTTTGGGAAGAGAGAGTAGAATATCTATAATACACACTTGACCATCGATTGGTAAGCTAATTCTGCCACAGCAAATATGTGTGGTTCCAACATTTGAACATCTTGCTCTCGATATAATTCAATTGTATCACTTTCATAAATATTCAAATTTTTATACGGATTTATAGCAACGAGAACAATGCCACATTTTGTATATATTTGACTTTTATTGAAACGAGATTCCAAATTATATAGTACTAGAAGCAAAGAGTAGAAAACGATGTTTGACAGTAACAGCTATAAGTGGTATTATTTCATTAAACCTTCTGGTTCATTGAGATAACTGAGAGTTGTTAAATCTGTGTGCCCAATTAAAATGTCTGGATTTCGTAACGGTGGTAAATCACTATTCGATTTAATAGTGATAGTTTCCTGCTAGGACAAATAACAGGCAGAATATGATCTTCTACCATCTCCCAGACACAAATCTTTAACACATACTTTTCCATTTTCTCCCAGGACAACTAGTTTTCCTGAACCAGTATAATCTTCATCAACGGCAACTGCTCGCCATACATGTTCATGATCTGGCAACCATATACGAGCACCCTAAGATCAAAGATAAAAAAGAACTGAAAATGATAATGTACAAAACACAAATAATATATGTAAAATAGTTTAACTCTTGAATAATGAACATGAATAACGTAGTTGTCATGCATCGGTATCACAGTAAAAGCAAATAAAAACTCATAGCAACAAATGTCAATGACGAGATGATCTCCCAAGTCCACTTCTTGCTTGATTCGCGACGCGGATCGCGCTAAAATCGCCCAACTCACGCCGCGGTCGCTAAAAAGTCGCTATTGTCGCGGAGCGTTCGCGACCAACTCTTATTCTACAAAAAATTTGTAATTCGCGATCATGACGTGACCATTTTTTCTTACAATGTCGTGGCGCGATCGTGATGAAGTCTTACTTTTCGAAAATTTGTAATTCGCGATCGTGAAGCAACAATAACGACCTTTTAGCGATCGCGGTGCGACTTCGCGATCACTGTAAGAAAAAACTGTCACGTCGTGATCGTATTTTTCTCTTACAATCGCAATATGATAAAGCGTCGCGGCGCGTCTCCCGTGCAAATCCTATTCACGTTTTGGTTACGCACCTGGTATATAACTCTTACTGATTTTTCGAAAAATTTTCAAAATTTTATCACATCTTAATAATAGCTTACGACATGACGAATATAGGCTTGCGCAGTTGCGTCGCGCGTACGCCATTCGTCAGCCTTTGCGGTAAAAGTAGCGTGGCTCATTTACTGATATTAGACCAAAAACGCGAATAAATAGTAACTATAGCAAAATTCTTGATAGTCATTGATTTTTGTATGAGCGCGAAGAAATAGCGATCGCTAAAAATCGTGTCTTATTTCACGATTCTTACAGCGAATGCGTTACACGATGCTGCTGCGATTTTTAAAGAGACTCGCGTCGCGACATGCGATAAGAAAGTAGACTTGGGCTAATTATACTCTAGGTAAAACAACATATTATTTTCTATACTTTTTCGATTTAAGATTATCAATAATAAACAATTTGGAGTTCGTATAGTATAGCTAAAATGATGAAAGTGTATGGTACCTATTGTCACACAATCGAATTGCGCTAGATCTAATGTCTACGTCTAGCATCATACAACTTTGAATTTTGCTTTGATTTAAAATCTGTATAAAATCGTGTTCAAACGGGACAACATACAAACAAAATTCGTAGTTTACGTAGTGTGTAATAAAAGCAAAACACAATCTTCAGTGCGTTCTATTGATAAAGTATAACAAAACTCATGCAAATATAATATCTAGACATCTGCGCTGGTCTTCTTGACGACAACGACGACAATTCGAAATTCGTCAAGGTCATATCGTTCTTGATCCCAGGGCGAGTAATCGTATATCAAGATTTCCTATGGTCTTATAAGATCACATAAGAATTCATCAGATCTTATAAGATTATGTGCCTGATCGTGTTCTATAAATTTTCTCTAGACCATCTTAAAAAAGTAGGTTTCTCTATTTATAATATTTTCTGCCATAGATAGGACACATGTGTCCTTAGGATCGTGTTTAACCACGTTCCTTATAGCCATGCACTTTATTTGCGCTCAGCTGATGTGTGAAGACGAAGAAAGAATAAAATTCTAAGTTTTATCATAAGAACTATGTTATATATATACTCAATATCATAGTAAAATTTATGTGGTGAGAATGAGTCATCGATTCTTGCAAGATCATATAAGATCTTATAACAAGAAATCGTATGATCTTGCGATAAGAAATAAATATAAGTCACGTCTTTCAATGGAAAGGATCATGCGCTTTCGTGTTACAAGACCTTGTCACATCTTATGAGCTGATCATGTAAGATCTTATGACAAGAAGTTACAAGATTCCGCAGGATCTTACAATATCCTAAGACAAGATCTTGTAAGATCATGCAGTATGTATGAGGAGTGAAAAGGACGCAAAATAAGTGAAATAGCGAAGGTTAGACGTAAGTGTGTAATCTTTCTAACAAAACTTTCACCTACGTTTTCGGAATCTCAAATTTTCAACAAAAAACAGGCCAACCTCGCCCGTAAAATAGCTGTATTTCACTGACTACTAACAGCCAACTCACGAAATTCATATCCTCAATAATGTAGAGTCGTGACGGCATTTTTGTAAAAAGAAAAAGTTTTCATCTCTCTCAGATTAGGAGCTATTGATACTTTACGGAAAAGGAATAAATCGCTTATATTTCGTGAACCATCCAGTAAAAGAGTCCCAAAAGTAGTGGGTGATCAGCCTTCGGTAAGAGCGATGATCATATAAAATTAGAAGACCCTAGTTATCATGGTTCTTGAGTTGCAGGGGTGTCGCTATTTTTGCAGGACTATTTTTGTGAAAAAATAATCCCGTAACCAAAGGGTTAAAGGTTATGGACTAAAAATGCAGAACGAGGAATCCGGTCTTAGTTCTGCTATGGAGACATATGTTCTCTGATCTTCGTACCTTGAAATAACATTTGACTAACAAATCCTTCACACATTAACTAAACGGTTACTTAGCAAGCCTCCAGAATATGTATCAATGAATATTTGTCAACCTACATTTTGTAGCTGGTAGCCATGGTTTCTAAGTCTTTAAAAGCCTTGTTTTTATCTCAAGCATTCTTTATATTGGTGGTTTTGTTTCTTGTAGTTAGCCTCAATTACTAATGTGACACAAAAAAATATAAACTATAGTAAATATTCACTGCTAAAGAAGCAGAAACTTTTTAATAGTCTCACTGTAGGGTTTTGAAGCTACCATTAAACATTTTTTGATCATCGTAGATGCCTAATTATATCTAATAAAATTAAAAGCAAAGTCTACATACATTGGCTTTCTATTTATCAATAGAGAAAAATTGATAATTTTTTAATTTTAACCAAACGGAGTGCGTACAAACACGTCTAATACGTACGCATTTTAAGTACATATTTTTATGAATGATCCTTTTATGTGTCGAAATATATGAAGGGAAGAGATTAATATTAATAAAAATAGCAAAATTTCGGGAAAAAATAAAGAAGAAGAGAGCGTGTGTTCGGAATAAATTTAGGATACAAAATTCTTTTTAGCCATCGTCTGACCTTTAATATTTTTGGTTCATTAAATAACAGACAGACAGACAAATAAAAAAGCGATATTTCTACTGAAAACGATATTTTCCTCAAGATATTGAACAAAATAAAGGACAATACGAGACTAGAACTACGAATATGTATCAATAATCTTTTCTAAGTTGTAAACTATATAAGCTTTACCTTCGTGTACAATTCATGTACTAACATAGTTTGATTTTGGAAAAAAAAATGAATCTCAACAATATTAGTGCGGACGACATAAGAGAACAAAAGAAAAAAATCTAAAATTAATTAAAAATATATATTTATCTGCATTTGTTTATCTTAACTTTGATCGAGAAAGCTTGTTACCTAAGATACACGTTAATTTTTTTGTATCGCTTTTATTACTGCATGATATATGAGTGAAAGGGAGTGAATCATCATTTTCTTTCGTTTCTTTCTTCAATCTAAAATTGTGCACATGAATATCGATTTACAAAAATATAATTATTCATAAATCATACTTAACCGAAACTCCGATCGCCCATATCTCTACTTTTTGCCGAAAAACCATACAGGAAAGCAGACACATTTCTTTTGTATCGTGAATAAAAACGTGAATGTTGTAAGATAACTTTTTATTTTCTCACTATCCCACAGCATTTATTTTTTATTTTTCCATAGCTCAGTATAAACTACCTGGATGACGGAAAACACCTTATAATCAAAAAGATACACGTGGACAAAAAAATTCGAAAATAATAGACTCACAGGTTCTGCACAGAATGTATCTGATCACTATGGAGAACGCAAATGTCAACATCGAATATAAGGGAAGAAGTAGCTGTTTAAGATACACCCATTATGTCTTATTTCATTTCAGTCAAGTGAGATATCTAATTTGAATAGAGACAGTAATTTGTGTTAGCCGTGCAAAAATCTCGAGCATGCTGTTTGTTACTAGTTTTCCCAACTCGTCTTTTTAGCTTCATTCGCGGGATGAACGCGGTTCGCACTACGCGATCACGTTACATTTGCTCAACTTGTACCGTGATCCGCTAAAAAGTCGCTATTGTCGCAGCGCGATCCTTATGAACTCTTATTTTTCAAAAAATGTGTAAGTCTCGATAGCGAGGCGACAATTTTTCTTACAACGATCGCGAAATCAGCAAGCAACTTACTATAGTGACTTGCGTTAAAATAATTGTTTTAAACAACTTTCAAAGTTGACTGTCGCAATAGCGTTTGTCTCTTATAATCGTGATATGATGCAGAGTCGACTTTCGTGCAAATCCTATTCACCGTTTTATTTTACTTAGAAGCCTTGTAAATTATTTTCAGTGATTTTCGAATAGTTTTTAAAATCTTGTGACATTTTAGTAATTGATCGCAGTCAGATCGGCAAATGCTAGTGTTGATCTTGATTTTAATTGAGAAAGTTTATAATTATGAGAAAAAGAAACTGATACGGGTGGGGTGGTAGCCGAAAAAAAGTGATTATCCCATGACTAATATAAGTCTAGCATAGCAGCGTCCGCGGTACGAGTAGCGTGACTCATTTATTGTCAGTGGACGAAAGAGCGATCACAGTAAAGTATCTGAGAGTTAAGATCGATCTTTTATATGAGCGCGAGAAAATCGCTGTTATTTCGCGAGTTTTACAGCGAACGCGTTACTCGATCCCACCGGGATATTTTAAAGATACTAGTGGTGCGACATGCCGCAAGACAGTGAACGTGGGTTAATATGAGTCATAATTGGTTGAGCTCATCGAGCGGAACGGAAGAAATTTATCTGATCGACGATGCATTACTATAAACTCCAAAACAAATTTTTAATGGACATATGAAAGATATCAAACTTGTACTTTGCAACATCAGCAAAAAGAACCATCCCTAGACACTGTAGTCTTCGGAATTATTTATAACTCTTAAACAAAAACATCATAGTATAGAGGAATTCCAAAATGTTTTCTCAGAAAGAAAGATTTCATAAAAAAATTCGGTTAATAATTTGTTGAAACTTTCGACATTTGTGACGTATAATGTAAACGAACCACGATAATTTATTGGAATGTCCTGCATTTTAACATCTGGTATTTTGGATTTGATAAATTTGCTTAATGGTAGTCTTGCTAGTGTGACACCTTCAAGTACGAGTGATACTATTTCTTTCTCTTGTGGTTACAGCTGTCTGTTCATTCTTTTTCAGTATTTCCCCTAAACAGGGTTGCCAAAAATATCCCCCCATAAGGTGGACAGTCCCACATTTATAGATTTGTCCCCCGCAAAAATCTGTCCCCATTTTCAAGGGTATTGTCTTTGACCGTCTTCAATGGACTTTGTACTTTTGTATCACACTTCCAGTTCAACAGACCTTGAGCGGTTAGTAATTTTTCTTATGTGAAATCTCCGATGGGGAAACAGCTGATTTTTCGATTTTGATCGATTTTCAAGAACTTTCAATGATTTTTACCGATTTTAGATTCAAACCGTTTAAATCGAAAAAACAGCTGTTTCCCCCTTGGAGATTTTCACATAAGAAAAAGCACTGAACGCAGAACTAAGAATTAGAATGAATACAAACTTAACGTGTACTAATTTTCATTCTTTGATTTCAAATAACAAAGAACTTCTCAAGAGTATTCGTGGAAGTGAAAAATATGTACATAGAAGTAAAAAGTCACGTTTTTAGTGTAACAAAAGGTATTTGCCTTAAATTATATGTTCTGACATAGTAATGTTAGAAAAACCAGAATAAAAGAATATACTCAAGTGTCTTTTATTTTCGCAATGACCTCGCACGTCAAATAATGTGTTTTATGTTGTTGTAAAAATAGTTCCCGTTATGTCCTCCGTTTATCAAAATTTGTCCCCCTTACGTCCGCCCTTCCGTAAAATTTGTCCCCATTTAATTTTTTTTTAGTTGGCATCCCTGACCCTAAATATCGATTAGCAGTTTCTTACCAATCTATTTTCTTTTAAGGTAACAACGGTTTATTTAGAATAAACCTGTAGAGTGCTAAGCACAGCTCTGACACATGACCGAAGTCTTTTGTCAACTAAAAAAAATTAAAAAAAAATTGTATTAATCTAAGTTTTAAGTATTATTTCTTTTAATATATACTATCCTAGTATATATTTATTGCGTCAAATACGCAACTTGTATATGTTGTACATATGTGAAGCCAATTTGAAATTGCCCTATATATATGTGTAGTTAGTCAATAAAAAGTTAAATTAAAACAAGTAAAATAGTATATTCGATACATTATTGATTCCTACATGTTCGTTTTCGACAGCTAAGAATAAAACGCACTAATCACGTATATAAAAGACTAGACAACCGCGTACTAGATGCGTACACTGAAATACTTACTAATGAGTTCCGAAGATTCTCGGAATTATGAGCATTAATTGAAAACTATCGGATGAATACTTAACTCTGATATTTTTGCGTATATTTTATGAGAAAGCTTTTATATTATGTTAGAGTTAACCAACTTATTTGTCATATAAGCCCTGGCCATGTGAAACCAGGATCAAAAAAACCAATTTTTCGGGACCAAAAAATCGTGGTGTCGCCCATGTATAAACAATCCAATAATCTATTAAGTAGAAGCAAGACCTTCGAAATGTATCGAGCTAGAAAGACATCTGCTGCTTGATTCTAATCACAGTGACCACTACAAGTCCCTAGGGAGACGGAGTCATTACATAGACACAAGATCACTACAAAGCTGGTACAAGGCTACTACTGTAATGGGAAAAATGTAAAGTAGCGTATTGGTGCTTTTCCCCCCTTGCTAAGTACTTTATTAAACATTAAAATAGTTTAATGCGAGTGTTTCCTATTTAGGCACAAACTTTTTCTATAAAGAAAAAAATCAATCAGATCTCTCAATGTAGCCCTTCGGCAATATGATAAATAAAAGTGCATGGTTACACCGGACTCCCATCAAACAAATTTAGGAGCCAAGTGAAAATCTGTTCATTGAACAGTTTGAAGACTGCAAATTGGGAATCATGTAAAAGAATCGCTTTCATCTCTGTTCATAGTTGAGAAAAGCGTTTTCCCGGAATTATATGTCTTTGTTACTGGAGTTCATAGTGGGTTGCCTATTAACGAAGGAAATAAAAGTAAACGCTCAACTTTTTGTACTGTAAATTTATCTGATAATGTTTAGGTATGGTGAATATCATGTGTTGTAATAAAAATAAACTTTTGAGTACACCTGGACGGTGCAATGTTCAGTTCAGTGGTTAGTCAAGAAAGTTCATTTGTTGTACGTTCCATAACACTAAAAGCGAGATCGCCATCGGCGAACACTAGAGCTCGGTTTAAGTGGCGAATCTTGACGTATCGCACATGAGCTTTTTTATCAATTCTATAGTTTTTAAATTGTACATTCTATTTTAAGAAGCATTATCATTGCATCACTTCTTCGCACATAATCTGACATGGCGCACTATAGAGCCTCAACGATTTTGGATAATCATATGTACCGTTGACATTTTTCGTCAACATTTTTTTTCCTCTGAGATGTTCTGAGCTATTAGTTCTTCTGCTGTTGAGAACGCATGAGGTTCGTTAGTGAATTTTGATACCAAAAACTTCCGAAATGTTAACCACGTTCTCAGGAAAATATTTAAAAATCTCGTTTTTTCCGAAAAGTAGGCCGTTTTTGTAGGCTACTTTTCCCCATAAAAGCATATCAACAAACGACAACAAAATATGCCTTCGACGCGTCTTTTCACGTTCTATCCGGTGAAGTGGTTCGCATTGTGAACAGCAAACGTTTAATGGTAGAAAAAAACAGCTTTTAAAGCCGATTTTCTTCGTTTTTCAAAGTTTGAGTACGTGCTGCACCATTCTGCGGGATTGCAGGAGGTGGGATGACATATATTTCGCATGTACTCGATGTGGACTATTAGAAAAACAGATTTTCGTCAAGGGCCAAGAACCTTCGAAACAGACGAAAATTGTGTGGGATTTTCGCTGGGAAAGCATCTGTTTTGAAGATACTTGGCCCTTGACGAAAATCTGTTTTTCTAATAGCCCACATCGAGTACATGCGAAATATATGTCATCCCACTTCCTGCAATCCCGTAGAATGGTGCAGCACGTACTCAAACTCTGAAAAACGAGCAAAATCGCCTCCAGAAGTTCTTGTTTTCTAGCATTAAATATTTTCTAATCTCAATTTTAAACACTGCAGCTTGAAAAGATGGGGCGAATACATATCATGTTGTCTTGTGTTGATATGCTTTATGGAGAAACAATGGTTTACAAAAAAGACATACTTTTCAGAAAAAAGGACTTTTTTAAAACTTTTCCTGAGAACGTACTTAACATTTTGGAACATTTTGTCCGTTAGTGATTTTGTAGCTCTGCACATATAGAATCTAATCTGACTGTACCAGCTCATGAACATGTTTCACTAGAAAATGGTGAAAATTACCACAAACGAACAGTGCTGCTGGGAAATGGGAGTTCCACAGGTCTAGAAGGCCATCATACCGTTATTTTAAAATTTTTTAAACGTGATATTCGTCATCAGGAGCCAGAGTTGTACTAGTCCTCTTACTCTCGAACAATCTGAACATGGTCGATGTAAACGTGGTACGTTCTCGAAAGAATCACCCCGTATAGACCGTTTTATTGCAATGATATAGTGCGATTCTTTCATGAATTTATCGTAGTACACATTTGGGTATTTTTGACAGTGTGTCGTGGGAGGTGGGCAGTGTGAAAGTGAGTTCCAAAAATAGTTTGACACAAAACATATTTTCATCATGCGAAACTGTATATCTTTTACTGGAGCACATAATGGCTATTCACCACATAACTTCCCTCTGGTTTCAGGTCGTTCGCGGAAATGTCGATCGCTCAGACGTCGATCGCTCAAATGTTGATTAATCCCTCAACTGCCTACCCTGTCTGTTTCTTACTGAAGATGGTTGTTAATATCGTCATGGTATTAAAGACTGATTTTTTTATTACTGTGACATCACATCTGTAGTCAACGATACTAACGCTTCAGTGATAAAGATGGCAGAAATATACATGAATTTTAGTTGGACGTGATAAAACAATTTTAGCAGAGGAAGAGTCATCTTGGAGGTTGTTGTCGGTGCAACGATAAGAAAAATGTTGGATTGGTTTTTATTCCATGTGTTTTTTTATGTACTGATTTTTAACATTATCAAAAATTACATTTATTAAAACTTTCGTAAGATTATTATTCTGGATGTTGAGTGATTGATCATACAGCGAATATTGAAACATCTTCCGAATTAATGTGTGAACCAAACTATGGCAAAAAGTGCTAATAAACCACCTACTGAGCAGTTATGGAAACAATGGGATCGCAAAGCACGAAAAGAAGGTTTTCATTCAACAATTTATTCGGCAAATACCGATCAGTATAAAGGAGAATGGAAAAATGACAAAAAACATGGTCAGTAAGCTCAGTATTTGGGTAAATCCGTATCAAGCATAGCACACCTTACAATATTTTTGGCACAAACCGTAAGATCAATCTCATTTTGTAGGGCTCGTCCAACTGAGCCTGACTGATAACTTCTTGTGAGTTGTTTCAAATGAAAGAGCATCTCAAATAGTATATATTTTGATGAAAAACAATAGTGATCCGAGGAGGATGTTTGAGCTACGGGTCTCTGAAAACTAGTAGTATTAGAGATATTTTATCTGTATTGTACACACCAAACTCGAGGAAAATAATCTTGTTTAGATTATTTTTGATGCTGAATTTGACTATGACATTTAGAGAATCTATTTTTGCTTTGGTGCGGTGTAAAACTCGGATGTATGCCTAACCTTAGCACATTTTAGATAGACTTTTTATCGTTTGCGTTCATTGTAATATACCTCTTACATGTCACAAACGATAAAAATTCTACCTAAAATGAGTCAAGGTTAGGCATACATCCGAGTTTTACACCGCACCAAAGCAAAAATAGATTCTCTAAATGTCATAGTCAAATTCAGCATCAAAAATAATCTAAACAAGATTGTTTTCATCGAGTTTGGTGTGTACAATACAGATAAAATATCTCTAATACTACTAGTTTTTCAGAGACCTGTAGCTCAAATATCCTCCCCGGGTCACTATTGTTTTTCATCAGAATATATACTGTTTGAGACGCTCTTTCATTTGAAAAAATTCACAAGAATTTATCTTGGGAAATAGACCTAGAAGAATCGTTACAAGTTAGGTAAAATCCGCTGGGAAAACAAGGAAATTGCACTTTTCCACTGTAACAGTAAAATCCTTATAACTTTTTGCACGCATCACCCACGAACCGGCGGTTTGCGCAGTTAGGCTCAGCTGGACGAGCTCTACAAAATGAGATTGGTCTTACTGTTTGCGCCAAAACTATTGTAAGGTGTGCTATACTTGATACGGATTTACCCATTTATTTGAAATTAGTCTATCTAATTTTTTTTCATTCTCTAGGAAAGGGCGTTTATATCTGGAAAGATAGTGGTGATTTTTATGAAGGTGATTTTTCAAATGATAAACGAAATGGTTTTGGAACATTGACAAAAAAATCAGAGGATGGAAAATATCAACGATTGTATGCTGGTGGTTGGAAAGACGATAAAAGACATGTAAGTCAAGGAGAGAAAACAATTCAATTGTCTTTAACTTGTGTGAATTAGATATGTTGTGCTGTTTTTTGAGGGTTATGGAAATTTATTTTTTTCCGATAATGAATATTATGAGGGTGAATTTTATGCAGATAAAAGAAATGGTTGGGGAAGAATGTTTTATGCGGATGGTAGCACATACGAAGGACGTACGTAAATCAGCGACCTATATTCAAAATATTTATTTTTGATTAAAGTTTTGAGTTATTTATGTTTCATTCGGAACTGACTTTTTTAGAATGGCTTGACGATAAACGACATGGTACTGGTATGCTGCGTCTAGGTATGAGTTTCTTTTGATGTTTAAAAAAAAAGATTTTGACTCTCTGTTGCTGTTCACGTCCATTTTTCAGTCAATGACAATCGATATGAAGGTGAATGGCATAATGATAAAAAACACGGACATGGTCGATTTTTTTACGTGACACGTGGGCAAGTTTTAGATGGTGTGTGGGTAGACGGTATATCAAAAATGGGCGAAATGAAAGATTTCGGACGAGAACAAGCTATTATACCAACACCCTACGCAATACCAGATGTAAGTATATATTTTCATTTGCTTTTTTGTAGAACTTCCGTTAATAACAGAAGTAAGAAGTGTAAAAACGCTGTTAAACGGCAACTATTCTCTTCCCTAGCACATTTAATTCTCTCAGAAATTGGAATGTTGGTATGAGGATGAAATATATTGGTTAAATGAATGTCTCTAAAACCCACATTCTCTTACTGGCAGTTAGACAGACAAGACAAGCATTTAGCTACATACTATTCGTATACCTATACTTATAAACATACTAGGACTGTGCATACATGTAGATACGATACGTGTAACTATAAAAAAAGACATACATTTGAACTTTGCACGAGATTTAATGCTAATCAATTTCTATTAGTTTTTTTGACATTGCGCTGAACTAAAGTCTAAGAATCTATGGTTTTTTGACGAATAAATGACATGAGAACGTTATGAATGTGCTTCATGCATTCATTTGCTTCCGAGATGAACCTACAATATCTTTTGAAATTTCGTTTCAACATCTTTTGGGAAGTCACACACTACCTCTTCTCTTTCTTTTTTTTCCTTTTTTCTTTTACTCTAACTCATATGGTAGTTACTGTTCTCAGGTTATTACTTTTTTGTAACTGCCCATGGCCTATGTTGCTGAATAAACTTTGCTTTGGTGTGCGCTGAATAATATTATGGAAAAATAATACGACAAACTTTTAATAGAAATTTGTGCAATAGATTTAGAACTACTCCAATTTACATTATATATTATTTTTCTTAGCTAAAGCTGGAAAATCCTGAAGGTGTTTTGGCGGAAGCAGAAGCGAATTTTTTACCCGAATAATTAATTTTACTGAGAATTTTTTTTTAAACAGAAATTTTATATATCTTTCGTTTTGTTGAAATTTCTATTTTGTAAATGTTTTTCTTTTTCTATTTTTGTTGTTGCTGTTGTTTTTTTTATTTTTGCTGTTGCAAGTATTGTTGCTGTGGCTTTATTTATAAAGAATTATATTGAAACCATCGTTCTTTCTTATAAACAGCGGCGATATGTGATATGGGATTATTTTTATCAACTAAAGGCTAACAAAAAAAATATATATCATTGCACCGAAGTTCAGCGTCACCTTATAATGAAAGTAACAATAATTTGATAAGAAATCTATCCAGACTTCATCATTTTTTCAATTGTATTCAAAATCATCTTTTGTCTGGTAAAAGGCATATTTTTGTTATATTTTTTTTTGTTGACTTTCACAACACTTTCACATCTAGTAAATAAAAAAAAAAAAAAACAGCGAAAGAAATAATCACAAATAGAAAAGGGATAACAACGATAACACTTAAAATCATATCACATGATTAAACAATAAAAAAATGAAACCTTTCAATACAAGTCAAAAAAATATGTTCATGGTATATCTGCATTGAACAAAAAAAAGTACAACAATAACAATAGTTAAATAACAAACAGAAATGAAAAAAAGAACAACTACAAAACAAGAAAAGTATAATGTCTTGAATAACAAGTACAAAAACAAAAAAAGCTAAAACAACAAAAAAGACATACAACAAAATTACTATTAGTTTTATCTTCATAAGTTTGCTTTACCAACGCATGGTAACATATAAATCATCTGAATTAGCCACAGCAGCACGTAATCGATCATCATAGCTTGAAGAAGAAGAGGATGATGATGATTGTCGATTATTTTGAACAGTCGATGGAGGATACCATGACTAGAAGGAAGAGAAACTAACTAGGTATTGAATAATTTGACAGATATCTAGAGTGTTAATCGCATAACACAAGACCATAGTGTGACTATTTCTCCACAGGATTACACATATTGATCTTTAGCCTACAGTTTCATCGAAAAGAACATTAAAATTGGCTGGACAAAGTTACAACTGGATAAGATTTATGTATTTACAACATTCCAACTTATTCATATTTTCAAAATACACATCGGACGTTCATTCACTATATGGGAAGACTCTGTTAACTGTCTAACTTACTTGTGCTGTTGCCCACATTGATATATCTGTATAATTACTCATATGATGATCACATTTTATTAATGAATTTGAATTTTGTCCTCTACCATCATCACCAACAATTGTACGACCGTTAAGACTACCACTGATATTATGATTATTGACTAATGAATCATTACTATTGCTGTTGTTTTGATGATTACTATTTTGATTGTTTGTTTTTGATGTTGATGAGATGTTTGGTACATAAATTCGATAAAAAAATGATGGTAAATTACGAACAAATGGCCATGGAGCTGTTGCTAAACATTGTCCAATTTTACGATTTAATGTTCGTAGTTGAGATATCAAAAAAGCTATCTCATAGAATTCAACCGGTAGTTCACCATTTGTGCCTCGACGAGCTAAATAAAATATATCCAAAACTTTATTAATGAAATTAGGAATAAACATGTATAGGCGTTGATACTAGACATTTTAGTTTATCTTATTATAAATAGATGGCAGAACTAATACTTTTTACAATAATAGAATCCCTGTGGCTGGCATGATGAGAGTGAATGGACATGAACACTACAGTACCAAGTTTTTAAACTCGTGCGAGTTGAAAACAGCCTCCCCTATACTATATTAGAACATAACACAGTTTTGAACTCGTAACATGTTTTTAAACTCGTACGAGTTCACAACAGTAAAAACTAGATGCACGGAAGCCTTTTTTCATTTCGTTACGAGTACGAATTTAACATGAAATCGATTTTACATCCTAATAAACCCTTCAATGAAATACAACACCACCCTTTGCTGTACGCGCTGCAGAATAAATGATAGTCTCAATATCTCGCTCAGTTCTCATCCTTTTGGATTAAATTTTTTTTAAAGATTCAGCGTTTAATTCTCTACAAAATCATAGGTGAATGAGTGTTATTCTATAAAAGTCAAAAGGTTATTGAAAAAATACTGAAAATATGAAACATCAACAACTTTCTGGCACAAAACTCAGTTTTTTTGCTTTTATATATTCGCGTATTGGCATACAAACAAGATCAAATGAGCCATTTTGTAGAGCTTGAGAAGCTATCTTTCTATGGTATTCAAGAATTTTAAAAACAAAATCCTAATGCACAAAATAAACTTGACAGATGCAAATTGTCAAGGGGGGAAGAGGATGAGCTAGGAAGAGTTTAGGGTCGCGTAGTTGGGGTTGGAGTAGGAACACATGTACTCGTTATGGTTTGGGTGCGAGGAGAAGCTGGAAGCGGTATTTTGGCCGTTGCTAGCGATGAACCGGAGGAAGAAGCAGAATATTTGGAAGGGAATATGGCGTGTGAGACGATACAGGGATTGGTAGTTTTAATGAATATGGTAGTTTATAGAGAGAAGGATGCGCCTCGTTTAGTTGAAGGATAAGAGGTGAGAGGGAAGCGCTGGTAAACGCAGGTCGGGCCATACGCCCGTCGTATCCGCATGTCACGATGTCACAACGTGCACATGACCTACGCGTACGTCATGCATATTTACTGTACAAAATGCATATCATGCGTACAATGCAGCTCAGACGTCCAGGCTTTTTTTACAAGAATTAGGTTCTCTATCAACATTTTAAAAACTGAAGTGTTCTCCTGCATACCGTCAAAGAGAGTACACCTGATTGTACTAGAAATGATGCTTTGAAACTTTTGACTAAGTATTTTACTATGGAAAATTAGTCTGCATATTTGTGTTAGAAAGTTGTTGATGTTTCATATTTTCAGTATTTTTTCAATAACCTTTTGACTTTTATATGAATAACACTCATTCACCTATGGTTTTGTAGAGAATTAAACGCTGAATCTTTAAAAAAAATCTAATCTAAAAGGATGAGAACTGAGCGAGATATTGAGACTATCATTTATTCTGCAGCGCGTACGCGCTCACAAAATCGAAGGACAGTGTAAAAATTTATATCGATCCATTGGTAATGGTAATTCATTCTCATAAGTATCTTAATGAGAGATGCTTATTTTCAATGCAGAGACTATCTAATAACAAGCAAATTGCACATGAAATAGTCTTATTTTTCACTAGTATGTCTTAGAAGACAGATTTTAAATGTTATCTTAAGGTGTCTGCGATAATTCTAATTCTCAATATATCTTTGGAAGTCCATAAAAGATAGTTACCTTGTGTATAATCTGAAAATGCTTGGACACAATCCAACTGACTCTTTGGCCATGTAGTATTTTCACCATTCATAACACTCATATCTAAACCAAAAAGAAATTGTTGAATATTTTGAATTTAAGTTTTAACAATATTAGACAGATTATCTAATCCGTTTTTACTCTGATTACAATTAATAATCAAAAAAGTTATTAACAATTATTTATGAAAGTTTGAAAATCCTAATTTATAGTTGTACTCCAATTTCTTATTAGGAAATCACTCAATCTTCATTAAAGTATTAAATACACGTACTTGTTCTCGTTAAACACATTAACAATAATAATGCATTTTCTTTTTCATCTAATTGTAAATCTCTTAATTTTGTTTCAAATGATCGAAAAAAATCTTCGGCTTCATTCATCGATGATACATGTGAATTTAATTCATTTGCCAATGTTGTTTCAGCTCGCCAATAATTCCATGACATTAACATTTTATTTGTACGTGGTAATAATGTAATCATTATTACAGAATGTATTGATGAACTTAAAATTTCATATGGATCTGATAGTTCACTGAAACCTACAACATACACATACACACGTGGTTATGCATTCAGTATATACATTTCATCAAATTTACATTTACTACTACTTATGATTCAAAAGAATTGCGAAGCATGCCCGCCTTATTCATCTGTATACACGACTTAATCGATAAAATCCTTTAATTAGGATTAAACGATGCGTATACATAAGATTGAATTCGAGGTAGCTAAACTACATAAGCAATTCTCGAAGAGCTTACGATAAAAACTGATGTGAGAGAAAAAAAAAGAACGACAACATCAATAAGAACATGTATATACGAAACATAACGTTGGAGAAGTGTATTTTGACTATAGCTAACAAAGTGGACAATACCGTTTGAAAGCCTAGTCTTACCATGAATTGTTTTCTGACAAAAACTCATTACAGACTGTGCATAAATGACTAATTGAGTGGCCATTGTTAACCATACTGTTTCACGTGGTGTACAACGTGGTAATTCCTGTAAATGAATAGCGAGCATAATCGACTAGATAAATACAGAGCAATAGATAATTTAATCGAGGCACGACGATTAACCGAACATGAAAATATCGGACAATTATTATTGCTCTGCATACGATTTTAAAGTGCGTAATAGAGAAGATTTTTAAAAATATTCATTATCACTCACTAATGATTCTTACCTTTAAATGTTCAATATAAGCTGAATGAACAACTCGAATATATTCTTTAGTTTCATCTGTTAATTCAGAATCAATTTCATTATTAGATGCAAATACTAAAAAAAAAACAGTGTTAAACTGTTACTAAATCTGACAAATTGATCTGACGTAAAAATACACATACTTCTTCCATTTCTTGCTTTTGTTTTTCGTTTTTTGGCTAATGTAGCTATTCTTGCACTGTCATTGATCGATGCCATACTGTGATTACCCTTATGTAATAATAATATATTTTGTTTAAATAAATTTGATTGTCGACCAATTCGACTTGCTAAAAAAACGAGAAAAATAAAAAATTCAAAAACAGTTAAACTCTAAAATTCTTACCATCCATTGACATTCCAGCATTAATACATTTTCTAAATCGACAAGCTCGACATGTTATTTTTGATGTGGAATTTATTTCACAATTGTTATTTTCAGCACATCGATAACGATCGGGCGCATTCTCTTTGATTGATCGACGAAAAAATCCTTTGCACGCTTCACATGTTACAGCACCAAAATGAATCCCGGATGCTGATGAACCACAAACAAGACATGGCAATTTTTTATATAAATCTTCTGTTTTTGGACTAATGTGTTCATCTAAAATTAAATAAAACAGTGATATTAGGCTCAAATTTGTTCAGTAACTTAACAAAAAAGGAACTAAATATAAAAATAGAACATAAATTAAAAATCTGGCATAGTGTTTTGTATACCATCCAATCACCAACAATATATCGTACTTCAGTTCACTTCACTTACCGTGCGGTTTCATTCCAGCTTTCAAACATTTCTGAAATCGACAAAACTGACATTGTGTTCTTGAACGCTTATTTATTAGACAACATTGGTCACGTTGACATTTATATTTTTTTCTGCCATCACCAGTTGTTATTGAACGAAGGAAAAATTTCTAAAATTAAATGTATGAAAATAATAAGAACAGACGATAAATATTAGTCGTAAACGAGACTCACTTTACACGCTTCACATGTGATCGCTCCACAGTGCCATCCACTAGCCGTATCGCCACATATTTGACACTGTTCTTCTTCGTTTTGTTTCGATCTCATTTCAGATAAACATGTTGACATTTCAAATTGATCTATGAATGAGAAAATAAAAGAAAAAAGATCAAGTTTCAGTTCAAGATGAAATTCGAAGAAAAATAGATTTGTCTTTGTATAAATTAGACTGATCATATCATTCGAACACAGTAACTAACGGCAGACAATTTCTCTAAAACGAATTTTATAGCATTTGGTCTCTCATTAAATTATTCAATATAAAATTTTACTTTTAAGTTAGGGTTAAAAGAACTTTCTTATATACGAGAAGAAAAAGAATACTTAACAGTATCAAAAGATGTTGTCTATTGCAACTGATATCTGCATTCTCATTTAAAAATAAAATTTAAGTTGGCTGAGATCCTAGTCGAGACTCCCGACAAAACTCCCACGAGACTTCTGTCACTGGGTCCTGCCGGGATTTCTGTGGAGGACTTTCAAGGGACTCCTGTGGGACTTTGAGGATTTTCGAGTGTCAACGAAAGTCCTCAAAGTCCCTTGGAAGTCCCATCTGACTCCCACAGGACTCAGTGACAAGAGTCCCGTAGAAGTTTTGTCGCGAGTGTCAACTAGGGGAAGGACTTTAGCAACGTTGCTCATTTTAGAGCTTTTCAATATTTTTCATATAACGTTTCCACTTCCATATTTTGTAATGAAACAGTCGATACATTTTTGTAGAGAATTTTATAGCAGTTGTTACAAACCCTGACGAAAATATAGGCAAAGTATAAAGTAACTGATTCTCTATAATCCGTTCATTATGATTTGTGTCTATATCCATTAGAAAGATGTTGTCTGATCATTCAAAAAAATAGAACAGGAATGTTTTGGCTACTCTAATGGCAGAGTATAGCGGATAAAGAATAGGACACTTTTGAGAAAACAAAATGCTGCAAATGTTGAAATTGCATTAGCGAAAAAGTAAAAGAAGGATAATTTTCTATAATCACATACATATTTGATTATATTCATACTAAAAAATTCTTCATCTTTTCATGACTTTTTAAAGTAAAAAAGAAAATTATTTATGAAAAAGAACAGATTGCTAAACAATGAGACTTTCAACATTTTGCACTTATCTATTGTGCTTATCAGTTGCTTCTATATCTCACTAGAATAGGCGACGGAACGTTACATAATCAGAGAAGTTCAAAAAAATTTTGAATTTTTGAACTGTTATCAAAAATATTTACTTACTGCCTATGGCCAAAATATTGATGTTTACTTTTCTTCGTAACTAGTATACAGCTTGCGATGAAGCTTCTACAAAATGTAGAGGAATATTTGCTCTTTCGAACGATATACTTTTGAGGAAAATTGAAGATGGACTTATAGAGAGAGACAACGACCATCTTTGTAAAAAGTGCAAAACTGGAGGTCGTGTTTCGCATTTTTCCCTAACTAAAGCAACTGTGTATGTTTCTATAATCTACACATAAAATACAATCAGTTTGCATACTTCAGACTTTACATATCATTGATTTATTTTAAAAACATATCAAACTACTATCCGTTCCAAAATACAAGAGCATCGGTTGCTTTTTGAATAACTTTTGATAGGTAATAGATAGAGAGGTGCGGTTTTCAGTTTTAGAAACTAGAGACCTGAGCCCGTGTTTCTATAAGCGGAAGCTAATTTCGGAAAAAATTTTCAAGTTGGTTTTTGAGGAGATCGGCTCTGGCCTTGTACCGGTTCCCTACGAGTCCCAGGACTGTCACCTGGTGACTCTTCGTAGCCTCGAAAGCCAATGGACTATAGATAATCGATCATGCTGAGTCTCGTGGCAATATTTGCTTTTAGAGAAAGTTTAAAAGTCTATCGAAAAAGGGAGTTTTACGAAAACTAGGATTTTCAGACTGTTTTCACCTAATATTAAAAAATTCACTATTCACTCAAAATACATCAGAATAAGTTCAAAACTTCAGGATATAATCAATTCTGTCCGCTAAACGTGATTATAAGATCGAAAAATCGAAAAATCATATTTTTATTAACGGCTTTCCCAGAAACCCTTTCGGAAAGCATTAGAGTCCTATAAAATCTCTTTCTGGATCTCCTGTAAATAGGATACAGAGTAGCCAAAATGCTTTATACACCGAAGTTTTGAACTTATTCTGATGTATTTTGAGTGAATAGTGAATTTTTTAATATTAGGTGAAAACAGTCTGAAAATCCTAGTTTTCGTAA